GTGCCAGTCCAGATAAATAGTGAAGGTGACTTCCACTTTTGCCAAAACCAACTTGCGAGTTCATCTAAGCAACACCGGATCGGTCGGGACCCGGGTTAACGACTGCCACCGGTGCTGTTGACAAACAGGGTGCTGGTGGAAACTGTACTGTGTGACCACGAGGAGGGAAACATGTCAGGAGACAGAGGGAGAAGAGGAAAGTCAAGAATGTAGGACAGAGGGTTGCAATGCTAAATGTGAGGACAATGACAGGCAAAGGTAGAGAGCTGGCTGACATGATGCTGAGAAGGAAGGTAGAGGTTTCATGTCCAAGAGACAAATTGGAAAAGCAGAAGGCGTATGATGAGTTGCCTGGGAGGTTGGACACTAAAGATGGCGAGAAAGACTTGTACCGATTGGTGAGACAGAGGGATCAGCCTGGAAAGGATGTGCAGCAGGTTAGGCTTGTTAAAGATAGGAATGATAATGTTCTAACAAGTGAGGAAAGTGTGACGGGAAGATGGAAGGAGAACTTTGAGGAGCTAATGAATGAAGAGAATGAAAGAAAAAGAAGAGTAGAGGTCACTGAAACTGTGAACCAGGAAGTGGGAAAGATTAGTGAGGGTGAAGTCTGGAAAGAGAGGTGGAGGTATGCACTTGAAAGAAGAGGAATGAAAGTCAGCCATAGTAAGACAGAGTCCATGTGTGTGAATGAGAGGGAGGAGGTGGAACAGTGAGGCTACAAGGAGCAGAGGTCAAAGGTGCAGGACTTCAAGGACTTGGGGTCCACTGTCCAGGAACATGGGGAGTGTGGTGAAGAGGTGAAGAAGAGAGTCCAGGCAGGATGGAGTGATGGAGAAAAGTTTCAGGAGTGATTTGTGACAAAAGAGTGTCAGCAAAGATCAAAGGAAAAGTTTACAAGACAGTGGTGAGACCAGCTATGTTGTATGGTCTGGAGACAGAGACATGGACAAAAAGACAGGAGACAGAACTGGAAGTGGCAGAAATGAAGATGTTGAGGTTCTCCTTAGGAGCGACAAGGATGGAGAAGACCAGGAATGAGATCATCAGAGGTACAGCACAGGTTGAACAACTGGGAGATAAAGTTAGAGAGGACACACTGAGATGGTTTGGACATGTCCAGAGGAGGGACAGTGGTATAGACATGTCCAGAGGAGGGACAGTGGTGTGGACATGTCCAGAGGAGGGACAGTGGTGTGGACATGTCCAGAGGAGGGACAGTGGGTATATTGGTAGAAGGATGTTAGAAATGCAGCTGCAGGAAAAAGACAAAGTGGAGATATATGGATGCAGTTAGAGAGGACATGGAGGTAGTTGGAGTGAGGACAGAGGATCCAGAGGACACAGAGGACAGAGTGAGATGGAGGAGAATGACTCACTGTGGAGACACCTGAAGAGGGAACAGCTGAAAGAAGAAGAAGATGTCTTGGCTGATGTTAATTAGCTGTGGCGGCCATCTTAAGTGTGGTTGACTTGTCAATGAAATAAATCAGGTGGACAATAATAATTGCAGATATCAGTCCAAGTCAAAATAATTGTCCCTACCCAGTCTCACTCTAGTTTCCATATTTGTGCACATGATTAAACCATCTCTAACGTGGACCCTCAAGAGGGAGGGAAGGTAGAGTGATTTGCACGTGAGTTGAGCGAGGAAACAGAGCAACTCACTGCAGTTTCTAAGCTTTGAACATCACATTTTACACATTTTATTGAGCACGCGTCAGGATATCACATTTTAAAGTTTGAATGGCAGCTTCACAATACAAGTAGTCCAGTCGCCTTAAAGAAAAGGCTCTGTGTTGATGGATCCGTCAAACAGCAGCAGCTCAGTTCCTTTCCTTCCAGTTTGCATTTAAAAGCAGGCTGTGCATCACTTTGATCAAGTTGGAATAAACCTGAATCAATTTTCACAACCCGTGACAGCATTTAACAGCCCTTTTGTGTCATGTGCCGTAAATGGATGTGCGGGTGCGTCAGACTGCTTGCATGCAGAAATGCAGCTACTCCTCAGAGCAATTGCATTTATTTATTTTTTTCTTCCAACTTTTTCATAAAACCTCATTGTGTGAGGCCACGGCTGCAATAATGAGCAGATATTTACCTGAGGATGTGGAATCTCACCGCAGCACAGAGGCATCTGTGAATATTAAAGTCGATCTGATTTATGATAGGGAGCTCTTATTTGAAAAACAAAGGTCGTCGGTGGTTTAAACTTTTTCCAATCATAGAATCTGTTACAATTCATACGATTAATTAACAAATAAATGCCTGGTGACATTTTTTTATGTGTGTGTGGTGTTTGTGTGTGAGTTCAACTCCTCACTGTGGACTCTGAGGAACGTGGTATTGATTGAGAAAACCCTGCTTACATCATGATTAACAGCTTGACCCGACTGAACTGCGTGGTTTAAATCTTCCTCCATTCTGGCTGCAGGATATTTCGTTAATTACCTCACAATTCATGACTTCCAGAGTGTGTGGGCTGGGATGTTCACTGACCGTGGTTTAGACTCTTTTTCACCCGCTGCTGAAGGTGAAGGGGCGATAATGTTTTTGCACATGTCTGTGTGT